CCGGAAAAATAGTTTCATTTCCTATTGTTAGACTTATTAGAATTTAAATCACGGCTATGCTCATGTTTGCCTATTTATTTACGATGAAATTTTTCATCCTTATGCAAATACACTATGTAGTTATTGAATAATAGAAAACTGAAAACATATAAAAACAAAGTGTCACACAAATTTTTGCCAGTAGACAACACTTGTAAATATTTATTAATAGATTAGTAATATAGCACACTTGTTTGCAATAAATAAATAAATAAAATTAATTAATAAAATTAATAAGTGGTATTTAATTAATAACTATTGTAACTATAGTGAAAACATAAGGTGGTTAGCATCAATATTAGACATAACTGGTTGAAGACTGTACCACCTCAGTCAACTGTGACCATGGGACCTGTAAAGGGTCCGAAACGTCGATTTGTTTGAAAAAAACAAATATACGCGATATAAATCCGGAAAAATAGTTTCATTTCCTATGTGTAACAATCGCGAAAACCTAAGAACTCGATATATATATATATATATGTACTTATTTATACACTTGTTTAGTCATAGGATTATTTATCGCATGTTTCATCGTATATAACTAAAACTTTACGAGTGAATTGTAAAGAGATTTGAACAAAATATTATCAAATCGTTACTTTTTAAAACACCGTATTTAATTTTAATAACATTAGCTCTTAAAAACAAATTCTTGTGCTCAAATTTTGTCTTAACGGCAATGTTTCAGGGTTACACAACCTTTCGCTGCCTTTGTTTATACGGATTTTGATGCCATAGATATCGAAACCGCGTTTTATTTTTATATAAATACGTAGAATATAAACAAAATAATAAATGAAATATATAAACGTACGCGTAATAATAACCTCGAACTAGTAAAAAAATTATTATTTATGATACGTCACTTTGACAATGAAGGTTATTTGTTTACATTCCTTCACCGAGTTAGAAAAAGCCAAATTGAAACACATTATACATAGTTATTGTTATCGGATTTCTAGAGACGACTCATGAGATTGTATTTGTTTTTGCTTTGCAACGAGAATGTCACACGCACCAGGCCATGAAAATGAGTATGAACTAGACACAGGCTGGAGTCCACTCCTATATTGTTATTCGAAGGATTCGCACGAAGCGTTATGCTTCCACATTTATATGGCGAACAGCTATGGAGTGGAATTTCCTGCCTGCAGACTTGTTCCCTGTACGGTATAACTTTGAAGGCGAAAGTGATTAAGTGTGCAGGCTTCATCATTTACCTCATCGTCACTTTCCATCATGTGAGACGGAAGTGAAATGCGTACTTATATTTTTTTAATAAAAACAGATCCAGGTTGAGCTGGTAACTCCATTCACGGTACTCAATAAGAACAAACACTCACGCTCAATAAGAACATTAGATACCCACTAGAAGTTTAGGAAAACTTCACAATAAACTTTATGTGACGTCATAATTCGAGGAAAACTTTATATCCTTTCGCTTAGCGGTAGCCATGTCTAAGTTTTAGACTCGGTTTATTACACTGAAATATTTCACGGCTACTCGAGTTTGCGGATTCTTATCAAGTAACGACTTTGCTACAATATATAGTTGCTAAAATTTTTGTAAATTGTTGCCTGCTTAGCTATTCTTTGTTGTGTTTTTTAATTAGACTTACGAAATATAGCTTAGTAAAATATCTTATAAAAATAATTGAGTACTCCTAGGTGTATTAAAAATACAGAAAATTTATATACTCACGGATTTTATACTTACTTAATTTTTTTTATTGATTGCTGTTATCCTCGAAGATGGTAGTTTTGTACTACATAAAATCATATTTAGATTTTGTGCGTATCGGTTTTACGTGTCTCATTAATGTTAAATCACAATGTTGTAACCTACTAAGAGCAGCGGTTACACATGGCGATGCAGTCGCTAATTGTCTATCTTTACAGAAACGCGCGACTTAAGCAGTGATACAATTGCGATGCAATCGCGATGCATGTTTTTAAGAGTCTATACAACCTCAAATGGCTTTGGTTGATTCCGCGTAACAGTGAAAGTGTTGAATCGACCACTTTGGAAAAAATAACTAGTAAAATTGAGGATATCGAAATCGAAATTTTACAAGGAAACCGCTGTATTCAATAGGCTTTAGATATACTAACATTGACCTACCAATTAGGTCAATGTATACTAATGATATTTTTATATCAAATGAACTAAATAGAATACGTATACTATTTTCAAATGGCTTTAATATCGTTTGTAAAAAAAATGAATTCTGAAATTAAACCAGTGTCTCTGCCGCTCGACCCAAGCAAAATGAACCGTATTAGTACAGGAAAAATTTGAATTGGAGCTAAGGTAGTATCGACTCTTAATGATTCAACATAAGCGACTGCATCTTTGCAATCGACTATAAATTGTATGTGTCGCGATGCAATCGCGTGTTTCCCATACGCGTATTTGTATCGTTGCTAAAAATTGCCGTGTGTAACCGCTCTTAAGGCGATGAGGTGCCAAAATCGCTTAAACATGGTGTTTTTGTGTAAGTTTTTAGGCGATAACATAGCACGTGGAACTTTGAAAATAGTACATCCTGTAACACGTATCTTGAAGTGTAGCTTGAAAATCCTAGAATATTGCTTATTGTCATAGGTAATACAAAAACTGGATTACAGTGAGACTCTGGAGGTTATTTTTTGACATATTTTTCTCGGGAAAACCAAACTTGCTTACTACCAAATTTGGTGTGGTTGGTATAATAGTACTTATCTTAATCCTGACACTTTATTCATTCTAAATAAAAGACAAATAACAAATTTAGGAGTAAAAAGTAACTTTCGCCTACTAAAGTACGAGTTAAATATTTGCTTGCAAATTATGGTCAGCCACTTAACAGTGTGAAAAAATGTCATACACAAAAAAAACGTAAATAAGTAAATATTTCGTTTCAATTCGTTGAAATCAAAACAAAATATTTAAAAAAAGTCAAGTTTAGCCATTAGGTGAGAGTAAAAAAGAAATATATTTTTGGTTGGATTAAAACCTAAAACACAAAGTATTCAAAACAAAAATGAAATTATTGTTCGCGTCCTTGATTATTTAGTAAAATTGCAACGTTGAAAACTTCTGCTGCGTTGCTTGCGTTCGTGAGATACGTTGCCAGACCTCTGTTTTGCGATGGTTTTGACAAATTAACTTATATTGTATTGTAATCGGCTGTCTGCCGTCGAGCACGATACTTACGAGATATGTAGTTGGTCATAGTTATGCAAACTATAACCAACCCACAAAATGTCACTTTCGAAAAACAGTGTGAAGAAATAAATAGGTAAGTTATTTGAGACTAGAGACGCGCCGAGTACTCGTTTCCTACTCGGTACTCGGCCGAATAACTCGGTTCATGAGAAGAGTACTCGGTTAAAATAAAGCGTCACAGCTATAGACATAATAAAGTAAAATCAACAATATATTTAAAATATTCAAAAGAGATTTATTACTAGAAATTGTAGACAATTATAACAATTTCTAGCAATTTAGTAATTTAAAAAGAAAGTTTACATTATTAATATTTATAATTTAACAGAGGCAAGTTATGATGTAGGAATATTTACAAGGCTTTCTGCGCGTTCAGGTAATAAATAGCCTGTTCCTTTTTTCTGCATACACATTACCCGCTTCGGCAAATCACCGCTCGCTCTACAGTGCTTGCAGGTGCACATAAAAACACTCGTGCTAACTGTGCCAGTTTAGGATATTTTGTTTTATGCTCTGCCCACCATTGGAAAGAACTCTGCTCTCGCGACAATAAACAAAATAAAGGTAAAGAACACTTCTGGTGTTCTACCTAAATATATAACTCAATTTCACTCGAGGTGTGGGTTTTTTCTTGTGTTGCATAACATGTCCAGTTCTTATATGCTTTGATATTTTTTGGTTTGATAGCATGTGTGTATATAAGTACAACGCCATCTGTTAGCGTCAATCAATATTATGTTAAATCAAGCTGAAGGTCCAACTACCACACTCTTACCGCATCGGGGCGTATGGCGCCACCTTATTGGAGAAATTATAGTAGGCGTGTTATCGCTCAAGGTCATCGACGCTTGTCAGCGTCTTAAAGTTAATAATAAAATTTTGTCTGATAAAATACACTAAAACAATAAAGTTTACCGACATAGTTTGTCTCTCGTTTTACTGTCATCGTATTACTGAATTAAATTTTTCCGATTCGTGTCTGGATGTGTGACATTCATCGTATTATATGATATATACCTTAATTAAAGGAACAAAAACCATTTTTGATTTGATCTCTTTGCTTACTTAATTTCCGTTTCATTAATTATTATTCTTTTCTTCAAAATATAGGTATTCAATCCTATTTCCTATAGTGGCCCCAAATGGAAAAATACAAACAAGGAAATATATTTTCATTCGTCCAAAAAAATATTTTTAGATATTGGAGGCTGAACGGCGATCCCTTAGGAAGGGAACGGTGACATATCATGGGGAATATTTCTCGAGCAGCCAGACTTGCGCCTACCTCCACCGGAAATATAATAAATCATCGGCCTTTGTCGTCTTCGTCCAATTGACTTTGATTTTTCTCCTGTTTCATCATGTCATCTGCACACGGTTATACATTTTTTATCCCGTTTGTTATCATTTAGATATTTATTTCGCTAAATTTACGCTATCTCATTTTCTAGGTACACGCTTACCTCGTAATAAGAGGAAAGAAATCTTGCTTGCTTAAAATTTTAATAAATTCAAAGAAATTGACTGTAAGGATATAAAAGAAACAAACAGTTGATTATTATAAAAAATGTGATATATTCTTTGTTAGACTATGAATAACTGTACAAAATACATGGTGTTTTTAATTTACAATTAATATTACACAACAAAATAATAACATTAAACATTAATTTACTCAATGGCAGGCGACGATCGATCATTTGTTAGAGTTTTCCTTAACTTCACCGTTGCAAATTGTTGTGGCCTGCGCAAAAATATCGTATAAGTTAATTCAAGTCAGCTAACTTTCACCACCTTGGAGTAATTACAATTGTATATTGGTTATATTAAGATATTAAAAACATCGGATTTCAAAACTCTAGCAATTCTTGTAGAGAAAAACTAGCAACAAAATGAATAATACGTAATATAAACAAAGGACCATCTAGTAGCTAATTAAAAATAACGCAAACCTAAGCTATTCTACTTGTAAACTGCAGTTTCCCGACCCCACAAATCGTACCACGGACCAAATGTATGTCCATCCTCCGGTAACTCACTTCCTTCGACCGTCCGTTTCAGTAATTTAGTTCGAGGTAGTAGTTGTGGTCTTTGCTGTTTCAAGGCTTCATTAAATTTCTGATCATCAGACTCGCTATAAGGTCCTTCACTATTACGATCTATGAATCGTCTCGCCTCCAGTCTCGCTTCTTCTTGTCGTATTTTCGACTTTTCAGCTTTTTTCGAGTCTGTTTCGTAATCGTATCGCGATACACGTCGCTCTTGGTCGCTGAAGTATGAAATATTCGACTCATAATAACGTTCTTCTCTACGCCCGTTGTATTGTAAGGAGCTGTCATCATAACTTTTATTTAGTTTGCTTCTGTTTTTGAAATCTCTGTTCTTTGGATTTGTTAAGTCCTTCCTTATGTTTCGTCTATCCAAGGAATAATCAATACGTGGTTCGCGGTTGTCATAATCATTACGTGGCCGTATTTCCTTCTTTTGGTTTCTCATTTCGACCTGTGGATACTCTTCCTTATGGTTTTTGTCATTTTCATAATTGTTCTTCCGAATTTTTTCTTCTTTACTTGAACGCTTTTTATATTTAAGAGTTCCTTCATCAACACCATTATATGAGTCTTCATTTCTGATATCATTCGGATTCCTTTTAGTTGGGATACCATACCGATCAGTTTTGATCTCGTTATCTTTATATTTCAGAGTCTCCGATGAAGCGGAATAAGTTTTAATTTCTTTTGAGTTGTCTTTGAATGTTTTAAATTCCATAGTTTTGGGTGGAGAACGTTCGTGAGAGGACTTCTTAGATTTTTCAGAAGAAAGTGTGGCACGAACATGGGGCTTTATTGGAGTTATCTCTATTTCCTCAAACTCGGGCATGTACGCATTTTCTTTGCGTTTTTTAATATCATCGTCAAGCGATCTTGCCTGGCGACGTCTTTCAATTTCTTGCTGCTTCCTCGGTGTCATGTGGTCATCAACGATGATGCAATCGTAAGGATCGGTACTGGAAGCAACAGAATTGACTTCAGAACTGCTGTCATTGTCATATCTTTGTAAAATCTCTCTTCGTTTCACCGTCTTCATCACAAAACCTTCACCAGTCTCATCATTGTAGAAACTGTTTTCAAAGTTTGTTTTTATTGTACTTGTATTAGTCATATCGGAGTGTCTTGATTCATTTCTTGGTATGAAATCTTCACTTTTCTCTTCAGCGATGGATTTTTCTGACATGCTTTTTTTATTCATCGATGGATAATTGTCACCCCCATTTCTAACTTTTTCCATGCGGTCTTCAGCTTGTATGGATCCTAAACTTCTAGCTTGTCTAATTCCGTTAGGGACTTTCATCTCTTTTCTATCAATTGTTTCTTTAATGCGCGGCTGAACCGGTTCGACTGGAGGGGATTTTTCGGGGCTTGGTGGTTTTCTTAGCTCAGGCACTTCAGGAGCTGGTCTCAATTCCTTTTTAATTTTAGTAAAAAGTTTCATCTTGTACTCTGGCACAGTATCGACTATATCTCTATGTTGCCAAAGTGACATGCCTTCCATTATTTCTTCAGATGTTGTACGTCCGAATTTCCAGAACGATTTTGTTCTTTTGACTTTTTGGGAGTCTTTGTCCATGTCAAGCATGTTTCGTAGCATTAACTGTTGGTCGTCCGTTAAATAACCATTGGCGTTTACAGGCCTCTGAGGTCGTTTCAGGCTTTGCGTTTTGAGCAGATAGGCTTTATGATTGTTGGCTGCTTGCCCAGACTTACTATAAAAACAAAAAATAAAATAATCATAACTAGCGTTCTACAAAAAAAAAAATAGTAAAAGCGAAAAAAAGTAGCGATAATAATTTAAAAGCGAGAGAATTTATTAAGAAGTTATTAACCTTATAGGTACACGAAGTCTCTGGGCCTCTTCATCGCTGTAATCAACATCGGGCTGTGGCGGAGGTTCATTGGAGAATCCAGAATCATTAGAGCTGTGCAGTGACACGTTACCAACGGCGCCCACCGCTGATACTACAGTTTTAGCTGGCCCTGCTTTATTTTGTGCTACCTGCTAGAAAATGTAAAAAATCAACAACCGTAAATAGCGTTTCTATTAGAAACAAAAATGGCAAAGCTTATACAAACCTGTGAGCGTAAAGGCAATGTCTGTGGTCCAAAACTTCTTGTCTCAATAACAGCGTGTGTAGTGAAGCTAGCAGCTGAAGTGGAGTTCTTTATGGCGCTAGTAGTTGCAGGGGCTGGAGTGGAAGAGTGAAAGTTTGCGCTAGCTGATGTGGTCAAAGCACTGGGTGATGGAGCTGGCAGTGTTGGCGGTAAACCTGGAGAGCCGCTTCCAAGACGACCCTGAGGATACGAATAAATTAACTTTTTTATATAGATGTATATTGACTGTGTAAAAAATAGGTACTTAAATTTATTTGATGAAAAAATATATTTTGTAAAGTCATCAATCATTTTTTCTAATGTACGACAACAATGGGTAGGTACATATATTCCATTCAGTTTATTCATCAGAAAAGTCAAATTTTATTTGCACAAGATGAAAACTAACCTTAGTTACGTGATGGGCAGTGATAGTGTCTCCGAAGATGCGAGTTGGCGGGTGCGAGTGACCGGCGTGGACGGTTGGCGTACTAGATCCTTGCGCATGGGTCAAGGGCGCAGGCGGAGGAGCTTCGCTCGGCGTCTGGGCGCTGCTCCAGCGGGCCGGAGAATTGCCCCTTGGAAAAGTAGGTGTAACGTGAGAGAAATTTTTTTAGAAAATTTTTTACGTTCAACCAATGTTTATTTGCACATTTGTAACCTTTTATATGACAATAATTAAACCGATGAATTCTGAAAACACGAGGTTTATAACGGGCAGGAAAAATCAATAAAGGATATTAATGAAATAATCTTCATTATTTCAATGAATTGTGAGCTACTTAATGAATCTTAATAACAAATTAACTTGATATAAATATTATAATGTTAAACATACGTGGTATCATCATTAACAATAGGCTCAGTGTAAGCCAAAGGGAACCAGCCAGCTTGATGTGTACGCATGTTCTCTCCATACTGCCAGCCCTTGGTCCTCTCTCCTAACAGTGCCAACACGTCTCCCTGTTGGAAGCTGAGCTGATTGTCACCGGCTGCTGCGTAGGCGTACAGAGCTCGGGCCAAAGGAGGGTCTCGGGATGTGCAGGTGGGTGGAGCAAGAGATGTTGGACGGGTTGCTGTGCGAGATTCGTTGTCTGATAGGAAACGAAAACATTCTTGTTCAACTATACAATTCTTTGTACTACCAAACAAAGAAAATAACAGCTATGATACTATTCCGAATACCTTAAAGAGAAATGAAATAGAAGTGTCAGGACCACTGTCACAATGGCCAGACTGCTTGCATATACATAAAGTATTTAGTTTTACATTACTGATAATGAAATGTTGTTTCTTACGAAAATAACGGTAATGATTAGGTAAGTCCATAATTCATTGGCCATTACGATTAAAATATTGTAGATTGGAAAATTTTGCAAACTGGTCATGTTTTTATATAGATCCAATTACTCCCTATAAGGAGGGAGAGGGTGTTTCGAGCACTTGTAGCTCTTTGCACGGTTGCACACATTGTTTCTTACAACCCATTACTACGCGCATAGCATTACCATAAATTTTAATATCTGGTATTACTTCGCAAGCCGCGTCCATTAGCACACTAATGCATTCATATGTCGGTACCTACAGACATGAATGAACACTTTTCCCTTTGTTCGAATACGGGTAACTAATTCCGGTAGTAGACCAAATCCAAAACATGATCATATAGTTTGATAGATACTATATATTTATTTGTTGATGTTAAATATTAGCAAATTATTTCTTTTACATTACACTTCAAGTGTGTACCTTGATCACCAGATGGCAAAGTTTGCAGATTAAAATCGGACTTGGCTCTCGAAAGTCCTTGTGCAGGCGATCCCAAATCCGCGATTGACCTCACATCGAGACACGAAGCATCGACAGAGCGTGTCTTCCTCAATGCTGAACCAACTGAAGCTCGGTCATCGTCGTCTCCCATTCGAGGACTCGCATACACATCTTCATCGGCCCAGAAAGAAACTTGCTGTTGAATAACACAAAACATTTCATTATTACTCGGTGACAACCAGACAACCTTGACAAACAGGTTCTGGTTGGTAAGGTGGAGGGAAAGACATTCCGCGGTCGATCACATAGTCGATGGAGTGAACAAGTGACCGCCCTCACTGGCGTCCCTATAATAACTGTCCTGAGAGAGGCCGAAGACAGAACCAGATGAAAGTTTCGAAAACCTTTTGGGGACATACCTTAAGCAATGAAGAAAACAACTAAAAAGGGAGTAACACAAAACAAGATCAGTAGTTTCTTCTTATTCGATTTTTTGTCTACATGGACTCTTTTCACTAGCGCGTACTGATTTCTCGTTGCCTTTCGAAGAATAATAAAACAATTTTACGTTGGTATAATTATTTTTATTATATTTGTCTATTATGGGTCTTTGCTGCCCGAAATAAATGATTTTTATTTATTTATTTTATTTATAAACAGATGTCTCAAAATTTTCACCATGCGCCCGGCGTTATAGCCCTATAATGTTCCTTTAGTATATTCAAAGCCCTTCTTATTATTCGTAACAGATGAGATATGCCGAAATCGAAATACTTTCGATATTCGAAGAAAAGACAAGTGAAGAAAAGTAGTAAAAAATTTTGTACGGAAAGACAATTTTTTGCCACTTTTCTTCACTTGTATTTTCCTCCGTTATATTTCACCGGATTTCTACGTGTCATAAAAACGACTGTACTCCAAAATCAAATTCACTGTGCTCCTAACACACTGTGTCAAGATAACGGTATTGAACAATTTATCTCTTGGAAATGTTTTTTTTCTTCGAGATTTGTTAAAACAATATCGGTTCATATGTACACGTCTCTTACCCTCATTCTGCTGACAAACATGGCTTCAACGTTGGGTGGAAGGTATTCCCTTGTCCTGGACACTTCAAGCCACTCTTCCAAGCCTGCGTTATATGCGTTTGCCCCCGCGGAATGGTAAGCTAACCAATGTTTAGCAAGTGAGCACTGCCTTTCAAGTACAAAACCGTACCGTCGACGTTCTTGGGTCATAGCCTGTAAATAAATTAACGGATACCAGTAATAACAAAAGTATATTAAACTTTCAAGTAGTAATTCCACATAAACAATCAATTTCAACTTACATTCTTCAAGCTTTGCTCGCAAAACGCATCTAATTTAGTTTTCTCCTCTTCCAGAATCTGCATGTTCTAAAACCATAACGTACATCACCATTGAGCTTGTATTATACGACTGACAAAGCATAAGTAAAGTTGTTGTACAAGTGATATACCCAAGTTAAGTCGTAAACTGTTTGTGCTAATAGTCAATCTCTTGTGATTGCTCGGGAGAACTTGAGACGTATTTAGCTAGCGTGTTTGCGACCGCGTGGGAGTAGTAACAAAGTTTTCTCAAACTTAAAGATGCCATCGACATTTCTACTTAGTGATCTTATATGAAACTTTCAAACGAGAGTTCTAGTATTTTGAATTCTTGAAATTAATTTTCGTTTGACAAAAATCTTAGTAGCAAACATAAGTATTTTATGTACTTTCATTTCCTTGTCCATAGCAGAACCAGCTTTAGTAGCGTTGGGCTTCTTCTTCCTCTGTTTCTTGATAGTGGCTGCGGCTTTACTGTAGCTCTCTGAACGCAGCTTGTGCTGTTGCAAGAACCTCTTTTGTTCCGACTGATACAAATAAAAACAAAAATTAATACTTATATAGTGTGACGAGGAGTTGATGAGAATTACTTCGAAGGGTTGAAAAATTACAAAAAAAAAACAGGTAAATAAAGAGTTTAAAAGGAATCTGAAGCTTTTTCTAGTGAAAAAATAAACAATCGCCAATCAAAATATCACACCTCCGGTAAAACACCGACTTAACTGCAAAACATTGTGATCCCAAACCATTTTTAAAATGCAATTGATATGGAAAAACAGAGATGCATTATGTATTCCTTCATTTTTCTATAGAGGGCGTAATGCGTATTGAAATAGTATAACACTTAAGAGCTCCTCAAATGTGCTCAGTAGCTCTAAATACAAAACTTTTAATTTATTTTCTGTAAATTTTGCAACTAGTCATTGTTTCACAGGAGATGCGATATGTTCTCGCTCATCTAGATTTAGAATTAGATATAGATTTTATTTCTTTTACATTATAGATTTTAATTATAAATTTTAATATTTACTATAACATAGTCATTCCTATATGTACATAATTTATTATTATATCATACAAAATTTTACGTATATATAAATATTAGATATTTAGATGTAAATATTTTTCTCTGTAAAGAGTTTTATTTTGATATTATAAATTTAAGATATGTTTTGTTGATTCATTGTCGGTGGCGTCCACTCCGTTCCTCGGCCACTACAGAATATCAGCGTTGGGTTGTTTTGCATGCACAACCCGACAAATGCTGAGTGGTGACCATTTTGGATCTCAATGTTTAATATTAAGATTTACTTTGTATTGCTGGTAGAGACCAAATAAATATTATTTTCTTTCTTTCATCTACTAACAAGATTTTTTTTCAATACAAATTCCTATAACACTGGTGAATGAGATATTTAAATTTCTCGTTTGCTATATAAATATCAGACAACACCTTAAACATTGCTTTGGACTCAAAGTAAGTAATTATAGCACTTGTGTTATGGAAATTGGAAACAACGGCGCGGTACCACAATCACCCTGACCCGAGACAATATAGAAAGACAGTTTTATACATTGACCCGGTCGGAGATCAAACTCAGAATCTCAGAGATGGCGACATCATGAAAACTCGACCACGGAGGTCGTGCTATGTTTGCTTTATCATGGACCAATAAGTGAAGAGGAATGCTAATCGCGACACAAGACAGCTTAGTCGTGTATTTAAAACCTACTGGTACAACAGATTTGCGCGACGAGTACCAAATAGCTATTTTTATATATAATTTGTTTTACATTGACAAGCTGCTATTTATCAAAATTACTCTAATTTCTAGTGATAACAAACAAATCTACTATATAGCGCTTATTGCACAGATTTATATGGATAGTGCCGGCTATTTTTTTATTTTGTTTTTGATTAGCGCTATCTAACCATACCAGCAAGTTTATAAATTAGTTTGTAACACAATACCATATATTTGTCAATGTTTAGAAAATAATTTTAGCTCATGATCAATTTTTTAATAATATAAAAAACCTGACTTCTCTTGCATTTCATATTAAAGAGGAATTAATTGATAACTACTGCCATTTACACAATATAAACTACATTATATAATTCATTACAACAAGTAAACAATGCCTAGAACAGAAATAATCCCGATTAAAGATTGTAAAAGGAAAAATCGCATTGACCTACCTGTACTACTTTTGTATCTTTCTCCAGGTTAGTTTCCAGGGGCACCAACAAATCTACGTAGAAAGCTTTCAGCTGAAACAAATAATTATGATGATTCATTAATATTGTTTTCGGAGATACTTCCAAGAATTAAAATTAATACTCTTTATATTAACTTTATAAAATAAAAGCCGTGATAGCCTAATGGTTTGACCTACTGCCTCTCAAGCAGAGGGTCGTGGGTTCGAATCCGGGCTCGCACCTCTGAGTTTCTCGGAATTTATGTGCGAAATTTAATTTGAAATTTACAATTAGCTTCTCGGTGAGGAAAACATCTTGATGAAACCTGCACGTTTAAGAAGGTTCACAATCCTCGGAAAAGTGTGAAGTCCCCAACCCGCATTGGGCCAGCGTGGCGGACTCTGGCCTAAAATCCTCGTCTGAAAGGAGACCCGTGCCCAGCATAGGGACGTATAAATGGGTTGATGATGATATTAACTCTAACCCTGGTGGAAACCAGGCGGATGACTTGTTCGTCCCGTCAGTTGGTATTTAAAAAAAAAATTAAATAAAAAATATGTAATTTTATTGTGAAATTACTCCACATGTCTGTGCCAAACCTGGCCAACCCCTCTACGAACTGAGCTACAGCTACAGATCGAATCACCATATTGTGGCAGATTATTTGTAGAAGGTTTTAGTAGCAGTAGAGCTCCTTGTGAAAGAGTTCATCCAGGGAAGTACTGCTACCGTACCTATTTCTGCTGCCAAGCAGTAATGTCAGCATTATTGTGTTACGGTTTTGAAAGGTAAGGGTGCTGGTGAAATTACAGGCACATGGAACTTGTCAACTTATGTCTCAGGGTGACGGACGCAGTGGCTGTGCCCCTCAGATATTTGCGAAGCTCTCAGTGGCACTGCAACTGCAACTGTTATCGACAGCATGTAGCTTACCATCATGCGCACGACTTGTTCGTTACTTGATACCATAAAAAAAAAGGTTTAACAATAGAAACAAATTAATCTATTGGTTGGGTAAAAAAAACTTACGATATTCATCTGTTGGTCTTGGATTTCTCGATACACTTCAACGACCTTCATCAACGCAGTCCCTGCAAATGAATAAGTTGAATTTTCTAATAAAAAACAAAAGGAATTAGTTATTCCAGAATTGTGTTGACTATAAATAAGGCGTTACCCAGCTTAGGAGGCCGAGATAAATGCGACGTGATTAATGTTTATTGGACTTTTTTTGGAATCAAAAGCAGGTACGGCTTATTTCCATAATAAAGATATCTAAAGGCAGCTTAAAGGAATTCAAAGTCTAATAAACGTTTCAAATGTAATTGGATGAACTTGTAGTAAGAATGGATGATTGTCTCGATAATAAGTAAGCGGTTTAATTAGACTTATTAACTTTCTGAATATCGTACTTCTTTTATTTTATATGAGACCGCTGTGTCGAGAATTCAATTTTTTTTTGCAAAAAATTACACGACGCATTTTTGATACTGGCTTACCTATATCGGCACATCCTCCCCAAGTGCCTTGCTGAGCTTGTCGTCCCAGCTTCCCCACCGCGTCCACATACAGGCGAGATGCAGCGGCAGCACCTGATGATTAAAAAGTGATATAATCAAGCGATTGTTACACACCGGAAATTAAACTATTTTTTCAGATCTAAATCGCATAGGTATATTTGCTTTTTCAAACAAACCAACGTTTCAGGCGCTTTACAGGTCCCATGGTTAAGGCTGACTCAAATAAACAAATAAATGTACGTAATATCCCAAATTTTTTTCGTGACCATTTACATTTGTATGCGACGAGGTTTAAACATATACAAAATTACATTTTACCAGAATTGTTAATAAAAAATCCCAATATTCATAAAAGCATTTTAAAATATTTTAATATTAATCTGAAGAATACTGATAAATGTTAAGGAGATTTTACCTTAATGAAATAACAAAGTTGATGCTATTTAATAGCGGTATTCATAATTTTCTGGCCTTTTTGTGGACAGTTCAATAGGATGAAAGGATTTTTATGTAATCCTATAAAAGGGGTGTTTTATAAAAGGTTCCTTCGATTATAGAAGATTATAAGGTAGGCTATGGTTATATTGCCCCCACTGAATTTAAGTATAATTGATTGGATTTTAATAACTGTAAAAATTTTGTGTCTTTTATAATTCTAGCTATAAAAAACAGATGACCACATAAAAAATAATATTACTATGTAATAAAGGAGCTTGGTAATAGATACTCCCTGTGTATTTAGCTTGCAGTTACACTGCGACAACGAATTTGCGTTGTAAGCGCGGCGATTATGTAAAAGCTCTTTTTTGCAAGAAGATGCGTTTGTCCAACTTTAGACTTTAATCATCGTGGTTGAAAGTTCAATCCCAAGTTCAGCGGAGACAAGTTAATTTGTTATAAAATATAAAACAATGTAGGCAAGTGACTCATACCTACTCAGTGAAACGTAGACAATTAATTTATCTGTGTAAGCCAAATGGGTGCATCTATATGCAAAACCTCAGTGCTCCGCGCTTGTTTGGCTCCAGAACTGGGACGCATTAGGGTGTCTAGGGTTTTAGTCAGGGACGGGCTTAGGCTCAACTTCAGTTCACTATTTTTATGGCACCAAGTGACAGGACGAAAAGTCGTGCGCTGTCCGTAGCAGTTGCAGTGCCACTCAGAGCGATTTAAAGAATCGCAAAAATCTCAGTGACACTGCCACTGCGCCCGTCACCCTGATTCATAAGTGCCATGTGCCTGTAATTTCGTTAGCACCTTCAAGACTGGAACACACTAATGCTCACATTACTGCTTGGTGGCAGAAATAGGTAAGGTGGCGGTACTTCCCTAGAAGAAGAAGAAGAAGAAGAAGAAGAAGCTCTACTGCTACTTCAGCGTTATACTTCGTTAATTAATCAATTAGGTTGAATACCTGTGAAAGGTGAAATTTATGAAATTTGTCGTCTTTGTTTTTATTATCTTATAAATAGAAAAATGAAATAAAACGAAATCTAGGTAAAATAGACCACCTCTGTTTTGCGGATATTTCAAGGATTCGCACGAGTGGAATTCTCTGTCTGCAGCAACCCCACAACTTGTATCTTTTCAACATTTTCCATCTCAATGGAGGTCAAATGCGCACTTATTTTTTTGATATAAAAATAGATACTACTAAAAAATATCCTGTTAATATATTTACTGTTTATTTATTAATGGTGCATACCTATGTAAAGAAACATTTGAAGTTTTTTTTTAAATTCGAGGTTATATTTATTTAAAATGACTTTTTGTCAATGATGTAAATACCCAGATACTTTTTAAGAGATTTATATTTAAAATATTCCTTAATATTTAACAATTGATTATTATTAATTTCCACATTTGGACGGGATTAGTTTAACTAAAATTAGACTAAGCCTATTTTTACTGAGAGCGTATTAGCTTATTGTACTTTTGCTAGGAATGTTGCTTAATTGAATATAAATACAATATTGTCCTTAAGAAAACCAGCTAGTGAGCTATGTAACCCCCACCTAAGGTTATTCTACATGCATCTCTGGCGAGCTGAAGCGAAGTTTGTGCCAAATTGTCTCCGTCGGCTTATCTAGAGTATTATGCTCCCCGCTGTAACAACAATAAACTTGTGCGGTGCTATGTATGGTTCTTGAGTCTTGTTTTGACTATACTTTGAGCTTAACCTAATTAGTTTTACTTCACATCATACGAAATTTAGAGAACTAAGTTACTTTAATTAATTAAACTTTTAAATTTCATGATCATCATCCTATTAACCTAATAGACGTCCCACTATCTTACGGGTTTCGTCCAAGTCATTTAAAAATTGGGATCGAATTTTTACACATCTTAGGTTTATGAACCGTTGCCAACATACATGTTTCATAAGAACGTCTTCTTTCACTGTTACCGAAAGGTAATGCTACTAAATATTCTTAAATTAAAACATTACTTAGAAATTAAAGCACTAAGTACATCCAGATAGAAGATATATAAAGATCTGTAAATCAAGAAAGAGCCGTTCCCTCGGAATTTTTTACAAATTAAGTTTTTAAGTATCTGGTATAGAAGAGCTTTTGTCGGTGTCGGTTTATACAAATGTTAGTGCTGAAAACTTTTTGCTGAACCTCCTCGATGACGCCACATTTTCTAAGCTAGCTAGATTTTTTGCTATTAGGTACAGTGTAGTTAGTTTTATATGATTTTTTTTTTTATTCACCGTGTTCTCTTAAACTTCTTGTTATGTTCGTAATATATCTTTTTTTATCTCTTTAATAAAAACGTTAATTTTTATCTGTTTTAACGATATGTAGATCACTAGCAAATCTACTATCCAGAATGAAGTTTATAGAAATTGATGACGATGTTGAAAAACTGGGTTGGGCATTTATATTTCTTTTTTATAGTTAATGTTCCCTAGATGTCACTTGACTACTATGCCCTTAGGGGATTGACAATATGGCACTTGAAATGACACGTCTAACCTTGCCTGAAACTGCAAAACAAAAATTCACTAAGACTTGGGTGTAGAATGTAAAATCTTTGCCTTAAACGCAGCAACGATAACGAAAGCAAATTTTAAATGGTTGCTGTTTAAATTAAACATTAAAATAATTTAACAATTCCTAGTTCCGTTTTTTCAGACGTATTTTGATGGGACGACACTTACCGTGCAAAGCTTTTAGATAGGCTTTACCAGCGGTTATCATCTGCCGCGCTCCTGGATTGAATTTATCCAGGATATTCTGAAACAAACAAAATATACATTATATTTTCTTTCCAAACCAAACGAAACTATTGTTTCGAATCAAATTCGAGTATATTTGTTTTTTAAACAAAACCCGACGTCTTGTCACGGGACCTAAGATTATATTCTCGTAGTTGTTAGTCTCTTAGTTATATCGGTACGATTAACATACGAAATAATAGATTCATTTCTGAAGTGACCAAATGGTTTAGTTAATTTAAATTTGCTAGCGCTTAATGGTAAAACGATAATGTGGTCTAATTTATAATTCCAACGCATTTGATTTCGACAAAATTGGAATTCGTTGCACATCGATCGATGGATTTGCAGAACATCCAATATTGTGCACAACAAGTAAAGGCGATATAAAATATATTACAGATAAATGTACACATAGAGTACAGTATTTTAAGAACGGTTTTAAATATACCTCTACTTTGTTATTGTTATTGAGACAAAGATTGAACAAAGAAAAATCCCTTCGAGTCGGCTGGACTCAAAACCGCCTGTTGCCTCAGCGTGATTTAAAATTGTGTATGTTATTTCATTCATATGCAATCGCAGAAAATGAGAACTTAGTCCGTAAATAGAGGCGGAATGCGGCCTTTCAAGGATGCTGCATCGTGGGGCTGGCCGAGGTGTGGCCGACTCGCCGACTCGCCAACTTGTCGGCCCGAGGCAACATTCCACGAGGTACACAGACGTACCTCTTTGGCAAATAACGTGGCAATTACAAGCAAAAAGTAGGTAAAGGCGCCGACATTCCTACCAAGATGGTCCTTTAGCTCGATTTGGATTTTATATTTAAACTGGCCTACAGATTGACCTACATTGCATCGCGCGTGCCTACTTGTAAGTAGTCATAATTTATATGCAAACAACATACCCAACTTGCCTACCTCGTAGTTGGAGGCTGGTAGGTACATACCATAGCAAAACTAAATTTATTCATAATTTAAAATTGACAATTACGACTAAACTCACTAATATTATTGTTTTTAGCGTTTATTATATTATCAAAACACGTTGTTTTTATAATAATAGGGCTCCGACCTCGTCCAGGCAAGTACTGCCACTATACCTATTTCTGCCGCCAAAAAGCATTACTGCGCTCCGGTTTTGAATGGTAACCCCCCCATTTCATTGGCATTGCACTGCACGTATTTTTGTAGTATTCGATAAGCGTTATAAGTGGTGAGCGTTTTCCGCACTATAAACAACGTGTGAGTCCACTGTGACCATGGGACCAGTAAAGGGCCCGAAATGTTGGTTTGTTTGAAAAAACAAATATACGCGATTTAAATCCGGAAACATAGTTTCATTTCCTATGTGTAACAGTTGCGAAAACATAGGAACACGGCTTGTGAACGGTTCTATTATATATGTATGTATGCGCCACTGTCTAATCGGTTCGGATTTATATGCAAAAAAAACTTGTAGTGCAATACCGTGTGAACGGGGGGGTAGGGGTGCTAGTGAAATTACATGTACATAGGACTTGTCAACTTAGGCCTCAGTGGACAGGCGTGTCGCTTACCACCAGGCGCAACATTTATTCGTCTCGTCATTTGGTACCATAAACAATAAACGAACAGACTAAAACAGTTACTTTTATTTGATAGTCAAAAAATTTACATTTCATAAGATTATCGAAGTTTTTTTTATTACTCTATAGGACATTAGGTTAGGTTTATAAATATGTAAATAAAGTAAATAATAATAAAATACTTGACATTTTGAAATCGTTATTTATTACAAGAGAATTAATATTCATCAAAATCTGTTCATGCAGTTTGTTAATAAATTATTTAGAATTAAAATGGCTACACCAATGTTGTGCAAGTTCTATTCGCAGAAGTATGTATATTAATAATTTGCTAAACTACTACCTGATTTCAAGAACATTACTCAGAACAAACACTCAGACCGAAATCAATTTAGAAAAGTGAATATGAAAGTGAACTTGGTCCTTCCGGGAAACGAAGCCGGGATATTCTCATCTGTTGCAGAGCCCATGTTGCTAACCGCTAGCTTACCGAGTTGGTCAGTACTTTATTATTTTACAATTTAATTATATTATTATTCTTACATCTATCTGCTGACTAGAACTGTAGCTCAATTGGTAATAGCGGTGGCCCCGGTGTGGCAACAGACGCTGGTTCGAGCCCAGTCAAATCGAAGGAATTTTTCTTCGCGTTGTCCGATGTTTGTATTAATAATAATAACAAACTAGTGCAGTATTTTCACAAAAAATATACAATTTTTTTCTTATGACACCGCAGTGACGGGATGAACAAGTCGTGCGCCTGGTGGTAAGCGACAGGCGTGTTCATGATAGTTCCAGTGTTGCTTTAAATCGCTATGATCTGAGAAACACAACCACTGCGCCGGTCATCCGGAGACATAAGTGGACAAGTCCCAAGGGCCTGTAATTTCACCAGCACCCTTACCCTTAAAACCGGAATGCAATAATGCTCAGACTACCGCTTGGTAGCAGAAATAACTAAGAAGGTGATCGTACTTCCATAGGAGATCTCTACCACAAGCAGCTCTACTGCCACTAAAAATAATGTTTGTCTCTATTTTACATATGTAGGTACTCTTACACAAAGAGAAATTGAAGGGATCCGTCCAATAAGATTTCCCATAGTAAGCGTGTTAGGGTTAACTGTACGGAAATGCGCCTTGCAGAAAATGGACGAATTTCGGCCGCCCGTCCTAATCTTAAGGTTATTGCCACATTACAAAAAGCCAATGCATTTTCCTTTTACCCCAATATCACTGGGCTGGGCCGAATTGTGAGCCAAGTACGTGCTAATGTGTTTTATGAGTTGGCCGACTCAAAATTTTCACCCGCATATTTGTGCCGTCTGTCGTTCGCAGATGTATAATTCATTTTGTTCCGGGGTTGGAGTAAGAATGTTCGTTAACTACGCTGTTATGTGATTTCATAAAAATCTGCGCCGTTCGCAAGCATACGTTCTTATGTATTCCCTACTAAAATATTCAATCCAGTTACAATTCTATGTTTGTAGACATTTTACTATCAGTTCGTGTAGTAATCAGATTTAACAAACAGTTGTAATCTCCAGTGTCTTGCACACCGGATTTGATGGTGCCGGGTCAATGTAGAAAAACCAACTTTCCTATAATGTCTCGGGACTGGGTTATTATGATGCTGCCGCTGTTTCCAATTTCAATAACTCAATCGGTTTTTTATTTTATTGAGGGATGGCCAACAATTGTACAAGGTGAGTTTATACATAGTAAGAATAACCTTTTAGCTAATTGTGCTATCAACCACATCATCCACAAATTACTACTTTTACTTTTATTACATTAATTACTACAAAACACAAAATTTTAGTTATTTGCTTTGGGACCAGAGCAGCGTATGTGATGTTGTCTAATATAAGATGACTTAATGTTTAATACCTTTTCAAAAAATAAAATAATGTCTCCATGAAGCAAAATATCTCTTATCCGCCATATTTAAATTGCTTTCCTTCGTGTCGGATAGCCGTGGGACAGCCTGTATATGGTGCATTATTTTAAGATTGATGGATGTATACATATCTTAGGTACACCTTAAGTCCTTCTAAATAAGTTATCTGTCTCCGTGTTTCTGGCTCAATACATGGATGAGTGGAATATATAGCCTTGTCGGAAGGCAGGCGGAGGGCAATTTTTCACCGGATTCAGACGTACGTTTTAAAGTGGGAATAGACCTTGAAAGGAACTTATGAGAGTGCCAGGACTACAGAAAAAGAGCACAATACCGATTTCGAAGCATTAGTTGAGTAGATGTATTTGAGAACTACAAAATGAATTTTCTGCTAATAATCATTCAATTTAGAAGTCGGACAACAAGTGTCTAAAGTCACATCAATCTTTTCTACATCTCACTAATTGGCATAGGTCCTTTTAAAACGTAACTTTGGACAATAGTCTGCCACCCTGGTTCAACGCGAGTAGGGGACTTCTTTCTACGGTTGTGAACTTGAAACAACTTACAGGTTGTCACAATGTTTTCCTTCAGCGAGAGATATTGCAACTAAACGTTCACAAGTGTACTTTAAGATAATAAAAGCATAGGTATATTCTGTCACGGGATCAGAATGACGACATTATCAAGAATCAATCAAACCTTGTCCCGTCGAGCTTTCAGCGAATTTTTTAGAACCTTAAAGGTACGCAACAAGTCCAAAATCGTTCTTTCGCCTATGAAAAGCGGCAAACTGCTAGGCCATGCTTATTGCTCGCGTCGAAAGCGTAAATCTTCCGAGGGGTGCAGCCATAGGACGAGGCCAAGGGTGAAAAATAGATGCGCACTCACAAAAATTAAGTAGGCACCGTTATTGGGGGGTTCACGAGGATTTACCTAAAATAACTTGAACTTTTTCCCAAAACCCCATGAATAAGACAAATGCGTATTGCGGGGCACTTGTAAGGCTTTAAACTTTACCGTATCATATTAATTTCCTATCTAACATAAAAATAATAGGAGATGCTTTGAAAAAACCTTATCGTAGTTGAAGTAAAAAAAAATCATATTTATTTATAAACATTGCATTGACCTAACAATTCCAATGTAATACTAGCGGCTTTATCCCATCCTTTTTATTTGTGGGGCACGTAGCAAACGACATTTGGTACCAAATTGCCTCAGGCAGACTTCGTGACGCTTGCCGGCTCCCTTTCCTACCCTTTCGCGCCTTAATGTCCTACGCACACGTACGATATCTTTTTTTGTATTAGATCGGAATGCCTAGTATATTCATAAGAAACTTCTGGAATAAACATGCTCCCCCTTTAGTTTTGTTTCATGTTCAAATTATGTTATATGATCGAGATATTGAACCGATTGTCTCTGTGACTTTATAAAGAATATTCCACCGTATTTCTATTATAGAATACTGAAGATTCAAGGAAGGCTTGAGCCTTTAGTATCCTATAATAGAAATACGGTAGAAATTCTTAAGATTTCATGGGTGACGA